TAGATAATGGATTGATTGATTCTCAAAAGACAATTACATAAGAATATATAGAGAATACCTAAAGCCTAATGGCTAAACCCTAAAGGGCTTGGGCCTAAACCCTAATCACTAACAGCTTCCGAGGATTGATGATTTGCTCGACCAATTACAAGGTGCTTCTTAGTTCTCCAAGATTGATCTGCGTTTAGGCTATCATCAGAGGAGGGTTAGGTATGAGGATGTCCAGAAGATGGCTTTCAGGACTCATTATGGTCATTACAAGTTCGTGGTGATGCCTTTTGGGCTCACCAATGCACCAACAATGTTCATGAATCTCATGAACCGGGTTTGCAGGCTGATGTTGGATCGGTTAGTCATCGTATTTATTGATGACATCTTGGTCTATTCTAAGACCAAGGAAGCCTCCATTCAAATTCATAGTCACTTTTCATCTCAGTCTTTACTTTCTTTAGTCATTATTAAATGACTCATAGTATTCACAATGAAGCCTCCGTCTTCTCGACATGTTTGTGGTGATAACACAACTAGAGACCTTGATCAGTAAGTTCAACACTAGCAATTTCTTGATCAACGGTCAAATCCTGCTCAACTATTGTAGTCAGACAGAGTAGTATATTACATGTGCTCAAGGGGTCCATTCAAATAATAATTTAGGTATCATAGAATAACTTCAACTAAAATTCGTTTCTTTTATTGATCTCAACTTCATACCTGAAGATTTGTACATCATATATATTTTCCATTGCACATTTCATGGAAGTATTCATTTATCAATATTATGAGTCCTTATATCTACACGCTCACACCGATAAATGCTCATCCTTTTTAAGTGTAGTATGTGCTAAATTTTATTCTTTTGGTTTTCAATAAGGTTGTAACCTCTCCGAAGACACGTCTACAAGGATGTTACAGAAGTTAATCCTTTTGATATTTTTATTTTATTGCTTTGACACCCGTTAATTCAATAACCACGTTTGTCTGTTTTGTAACAGTTTTGTCGGTGCAATATTTGCTGATTTGTTTTTTTACTTTGTTATATTTTATGAAAATGTCGATGTGGCAAATTAAATTTGGGAAATTATGTAAATAAACCATTATAAAAGAGTTTCGTTTTTAAAGATTTTTTTTAGATTTTAAAAAATAATTACTTTTTCTCCATTTGAACTATTATTCATATTTTAAAGTTTTTTTTTCAAATAAATCTTTCTATTTTATATATGAAATGTGTATTTCCAGGTGTTTAAATGAACGCTTATTACTGAATGCTCCGGTCAGGATTTGATCGTCAAATTTCGAAGTTCTTTTTGGGTTTTTTCCCAATTTGTTTTTAAAGAAATACCTTTATTTATGTCAGAAATGTTTATTTCGAAATGTTTAATGTCACCGTTTTTTAATAAAATAACTGATTTTATGCACTAATATCATACATAGTTCGTATCTACCATGTTTTTTTTTTAACTTTTGTTAAATTTAAGAAAAAAACAAAGCTTTTGTTGAATTCCGAATTTGTTCATCGGATTTCAGATTTGGTCTTGAAATTCTAGAGTTTTTTTTTTTTTCTTCAAAAAATTCGAAATTTTAGTCTTCAAATCTGAAATGTTTGTCTAAAATCCGGAATGTCAGTCCAAAATTTACTTTTTGTTTTTTAGAAAAAGTGTTTTTCTTGGATCGGAATATCTATTACTAAGCAAATTGTTATTTTTGCTAAAACAACAAGTTTTTTCTTTTGCTATTTTTTTCAAGTACACATCAAATTGTGATTAGATTACTTAAGTTCCCTTATATTTGCTTTGGTTGATGTTAAATAAACACAACTTCGTTAGACATATTACACATATAAGAAAAGTGATTATTAATGTGTAATAAGTAACACCATTCATAATACAAGTTTTTTTAGTTGAGTTTTATTTTAGGAAAAAACTCAAAATAAAGAAAGCTCATTATCTTTTACAATAAAAAAATATTTTGTTTTTATTAGTTGTTTTTAGATATGTTGTATAATTCTAATTGGTTAACAATTTCTTAACCCCACATAATAAATGAACAATCTTTTGAATATAGATCGTTAACTAAGAAACTTATTCAAAGAGTTTTGAATTAAAGCCTTTCACAATAGGATTTTCATTTTTCAAAGAGTTTTTTCCTTTGAAAAAACATCTATTGTAGATAGAGGTAAGCAAATTGAAATCGAAAAACTGACAAAATCAAAATCGAAAAATTAAACTCAAACCTAAGGCGTCGGTTTTAGGTTTAGATTTTTTGAAACCGAAAAATTCTGTTTCGGTTCGGTTTCCACTTAACAAATCGAACCGACCAAAGGTTATATAATCCTTACAGAATATCTCGCATATAATTAATATTAAACAAAAATATATATATATATATATATTTAGTGTAATGGAAAAGAGTGCGTCTAGTATTCATCAAGTCCTAAGCTCCATTCTCTTAATTGTTTTTATTGTTTATTTTTCAACGTGCTTATTAAGTTATTATCCCACATTCTAAAATTTAGTCGTGTTTTCTATTTTTTATTGTTCAATTTTAATCATTGTCTTAAGTGCTGTTTGTTTTTTTTTTTTATAAAAAACCACTTTTGAAAACTTATTGTTGCGCCGTGCAGCACATGCGCAACACTTGACCCTTCGCAGCTGTTTGTTTTTCAGAAGACTTCTGACTTAAAAATTGTTGCGTGTGTTCTGTGTGGCGCAACATTTGACCATCTGCTTCAAATCTCTTCACACCTTACTTTAACTTATTGTAGCAGTCTGCAAAGATTAAAAAACAAACAAATTTTTTATTACATGTTGCAGCCGTTTAGTCTCATCTTTTGTTACAGAGGGTTGCAGATGTGGTCTGCAGACTTCAAACATTTTCGCTTCGAAAAAACAAACGACACCTTAGTGTCTTGAGAGTCCACTTTAAGAGTTTACTCATAATAATTTGATTGTTTAATTCATATTTTCTTATTTTTCTCTAAATAAAAAGATATTTAAATTTTCAATTAAAAAATTAATAAGAGGTTGATTACATGGTATTCATAATGTCTTAAACTAAAAGATACAAGTTAATATGTACCGTAAAAAACAAAAACTTGTTTGTGGTTAATTTCATTTAGTTTTAAATTTATGTGTTATGATGTGAATTGTATATGATCTGTATAATGGATGAGTGTTGTTTTTACTCGTTAAACTTTAGGTTTACAATTACTACTTAATGAGTTTTTGTAGAACCTTTAGGTTTAGTGAAAGGAAAGAAGCTGGCTTGATTACGATATCTCTGACATTCTTGAGGCATGACATTTATCTAGTATTTATCTATTTATGAGATAGTTTTCAAAACAATATTTATACTTTCTTAAGTTGAAGATATTATGGTTTGGTATGATGATATGATGATACCTGATTGATTTCAATTAATATTATAGAGTTAATGTTTTATTAAGATTTTATTAAGAATTGATACTCTATTTTTTTTTTAAATAATGGATTGAATTTTAGGATGAGATGGAGCTTCTTGGTTTCCGCACTATTCCCCATCCTTAATTAGACATAATTTAAATTTGTGTAATAAATACATATCATGTATATTAATCCCTATACTAATTAATGAATAGTTTTAATCTTCTTTTCTAAGTGTCACCTTAATACAACTCCTTATTAATATTATGTCATATGTCATGTAGATATATTAGGCATCTCATTTCAAAATACAAATTTACATTTTCTAATTATATGTTAAATTTGAAGTTATAATAACTTGAAAATTTTGATATATATCTCTTAATTAATAATTTATTTAAAATAACTTATTTAAAATAATTGATTAATAATTATAAATTTTATTATAAAAGTTTAATTAATTTTATAACCGTGGTTCCCACATATTATAAACTAGTTATTAAACAAAGTTCTGCTAAAGGGAAATGTCGTTTCACGAATTTTCACGGTGTAATTTTAGCAAAATTGATGATAGTTTTGTGATAAAAAAGTAAATATAATTATACAAACATAAAAGATGAATTTCATAGTTCCATTTTATATTACATCTTTACTATTCATCAACATCATTATTATATATATATATATATATATATATATATATATATATATATATATATATATATATATATTAAAGTTGTGAAAGAAAGGAATAGTAAAGTTGGGATACTTTGTCCAAGTTTGGTACCTTGATTTACATATCCGGTCCATGTACTTCTTTAATTAATTTATTCATGTCCTTTTGTTTGTGTTCCATTCAACTTTCCATTTTTTTTGGCAGAATTGGTCCCTGTATTATTGTTGGAAGTTAGAATACTAAATTTGGATGTTTTTTGGCAACTTTGGTCATTATTCTTTACCCATTTTCACACTTTTGGTCCTTGCAATCAATATTTTTACACTTTTTTGGAACCTTTTAATATTTGAAGTTTGGCCACAAAACTTTAACGGTTTGACAACTTTGATCCCTTTTCTAAAAAGTTGCTAATTCGTATCCCTTTAATTCTTTAGCCATTTTCACACTTCTGGTCCTTGCAGTCAAAACTTTTACATTTTTTGTCCGGGGCAAAGCCCGAACTTTTCATCCTTGCACTTTCTATGTCTGTCATATTTATCAATTCGGAAACAACATTGAAAGCTTCTGGCCCCGCGTAGCGGGGTAACCTTTCTAGTTATCATATAAAAAAATCGGATTTAAACAATCATAAACTAAATTTGGTGTAAAAATTGGAATTTAAGGTTGTGTTACCAAACCCTAAAGTATTAAAAAAAACATTCCTTATCTTTTTATAAATTTGATGTAATCAAATTAACTTTTCACTTTATGATAATACCCACACAATCACACATAATAATTTATTTATAATTGAATAATAATACAAAATTGGTTTAGAAAAAGAAATAGAGCGTTATTTGGATTGAATGGTGAGCTGTCAAATTCTCCTCTGCCTGTGATGACTAGCAAGTGAAACACCCTTGTGACCTTCCCAAACCCCAAAAGCAAAAAAGTACCAAATCCACTCATTCCCCCATGAAAATATATATTCATCTCACTCAACCATTCCTACTCTTTTTGTACCCAAAAATCCTTCAATCTTTATGCCCATTTGAAGCTAAATCCTACGATCTCCCATGGTTTCTCTTCAAGAATCTCCCAATTCCAATCCGGGTCCGGGTCGGTTTCAGATAACGCGACCATATTACACTCCACCTCCATCTTCTGCTGCTTCTTCTCCATCCAGGTTCCAGAAGCATCTAGGTCGATCTATGAGAACTGTGCGCTCCAATTTCTACCAATCTGATTACACCGACAGTTGCTCTTTCGCCTCCACTCAACAGGCTCCGACCTCCGTCGTGTCGGAAAACCTTACCGACTCCGTCATCGATGTTCATTTGCACCAGCTAGCTACTGCTACTGGTAACAATAAGTTCTCCAAATCATCGTCTTCTACGTCTTCTGATGATTTTCTCGGGATTTCACAAGTTTTTAGTGATTTCTCGGCGTATAGTAGCGATATATCCGGCGAATTGCAGCGACTAGCGTGCTTGCCGGAGGATTCGAATGAGAGTGACCTTAATCAGGAGCAGAACCCCGAACCTGAGCCTTGCGCCGGGTTTTTACAACGGGATAGTTTCTCTACCGAGATCATCGAGAGTATCTCGCCGGAGGATTTACAACCGACGGTCAAGATCTGTGTCGATAGTCTCGGTTCAAACTCCGTCGCTTTAAAGAGGTCGGCAGCGGCGAAACTAAGGTTGCTTGCGAAGAACCGATCGGAGAACCGAGCGTTAATAGGCGAATCCGGCGCGGTTCCAGCATTGATTCCGCTTCTCCGGTGTGCCGATCCTTGGACTCAGGAACATGCGGTCACTGCGCTACTTAATCTCTCTCTTCTGGACGAGAATAAACCGTTAATCGCCGGCGCCGGAGCTGTGAAATCATTAATTTATGTTCTAAAGACAGGCACAGAGGTATCGAAGCAGAACGCCGCGTGTGCGTTGCTCAGTCTAGCTATGATCGATGAAAACAAGGTCTCGATCGGAGCTTGCGGAGCGATCCCGCCGTTGGTGTCTCTTTTAATCAACGGTTCAAATCGAGGAAAGAAAGACGCGTTAACGACACTGTATAAACTTTGTTCCATGAAAGCGAATAAGAAGAGAGCAGTAACGGCCGGCGTTGTGAAGCCACTGGTTGAACTTGTGGTTGCAGCGGGAGAGGCGGCGGAGGAACAAGGAGCTGTGGGGATGGCGGAGAAGGCGATGGTGGTGATGAGTAGCTTGGCAGCAGTCGAGGAAGGAAAGATCGCAATCGTCGAAGAAGGCGGCATACCCGCCTTGGTGGAGGTGATTGAGGATAGTACGTCGGTGAAAGGGAAGGAGTTCGCGGTGGTGACGCTTCTACAGCTCTGTGAAGGGGTTAACAGTGCCAGAAACAGAGCGTTGTTGGTCGGAGAAGGTGCTATTCCGCCGCTGGTGGCTCTTTCACAAACCGGAACTGCTAGAGCCAAACACAAGGTAATAAGAATAAGATCTCTTGAATCTTGATTACTCCATTGATGAATTTATTAAACCCATTTGATGTTTCACTTCATCTATCAATTTTTCACATATTAATTCTCAAAATTAATAAATTTTAAAGGTGGGTGTTCATAAAAAAGGAAGTTCAAATGGACATTCCTATGATTCTCGGAATTTCTTTTCTGAAAGCGACATGTTTCACATTTTACTACTAATAAGCAATAACCATCTCATCCTTTACTTTTTGGCCACCCTATTTGCATTTAGTACAACTTTTAATGCCTAATGTACAAACCATAACAGCATTATGCAGAAAAAGGGTCTACATACGATTAATGTCTTCATAAATGTCGCAATAAAGATTCTTGCTTGGAGATCAGGATACCCAAAATCATGAAAGAAATAGAAACATAGATCATATCATCAAAGTAGTTGCTTCAGCTAAAAGATTTTTTATGCCTAAATAAATTTATAGAAAATGGAAAACAATCAAACATCATTTTTCATGTTTTAAATGCAAAATGATATTAAAATTATTTTTTGTACTTTTTGCAGGCTGAAACGTTATTAGGGTACTTGAGGGAACCAAGGCAAGAAGCTGGTTCAAGTTCTAGTCCGAAGTAAGGTAGTTATTTAATTTGAGATAATAGTGTTTATTTAGGTAGATGTTTAGGAGTTTTCTTTTGATGATTTTGTATAGTTTGTTGGGACTTTTTTATAGACAAAAAGAAAAAAGTTTAACTAGATGTAAAAATTAAGATTAGTGAGAAGAAGAAGATGCTGACCATAGGTGGATTTGGTTTTTGGTTTTGCTTTGTTTATGGTCAAAAACAAAGAGCTTGTAGCTTGTTTGCCTATTAATTATTATTATTATGTTGTGGGCTTTATATTTCTATAAAAAGGTTATATTATAATTTTCCTTCTTACCTATAATTGCATGAGATTTAAATTAGATCATGTTTGATGTAAATCAGATCTTAATTTAATTGATATTTGACTATCGTATGAGATCTAAATAATATCATCTTAGATATAAATCAGATCTTTGGACCTTTGGATCCGATCGAAAACCAGACTTGAATTTGGAGCTGGTAAGCCTCAACACCACAACAGGTCTGGTCTAAAGTTTCAATTTCTGCCAAACCGATCCGTCCAAATACTCATCCTTACAATCATAACGGATAAACTAACTTTCAGTAGGATTTCAACGAGTTGTATCATATGCATCTAAAGTTATACCGGTATATCCGGTACAAGAATTGAAAAACCTTGGATCTGAACTTGGACCTGGACCTGCCACAATAGGTTTGGTCAGGTCCAAGAACCGGTCCGGTCCAAATGCTGACCTCTACCATCAACTAAAATAACAATATATTGTTTATGTAAAAAAGGTTGCTCTTTAACGACTCATCCATGCCATCCATCTAAAAGTATTACAAGAGATGTAAATTTAAAAATGTATTACAAGAGATGTAAATTTAAAAATGTATTACAAGAGATGTAAATTAGTCTTTAGACATTCGTTGCTATAATATTGTTTTCTTCCAGCAACATCTGAACTATGAACAATATGAGCTCACATAGATGTAAATAAGAGGCAAATAATATTAATGTGTACAATTCTCCTAAATGTTGTTGATAAAAGAGTGTTTTAGTATTTTACATTAAAATTTGCATGAGCTTACAAGAAAAAGGAATAAGCGAAAGCAATGATGGAGAGGGTTATGGAGTGGTCCAGTTGGTATGAATTTGATTGGTGTAAAGTTTGTAGGTTTGCTTAAATTACACACTATTCGTGGCCCTACAAACCAATTCAAAACACCAACCCCACACAACAACTGTCGATATATACACAAAATACATAATAAATACATCTGATCATACATGTCTGTATATGTGTGTATGTGTTTGTAATAATAGTGATAATTCATAGTATCCAGGGAGGGTTGAATCTTGAATGTGGTATGGGTGTCCAGGAGATTGTTAATGTGATAATCGCTATAATGAATTGTTAAGGAATGTCCTTATCATTATCTATTTTGTGAAATTGATTTTGCAAAATTAGTTTTGTAAAAGAATTTATGAGAAAGTTCAATTACGAAACATTTTATATCTATTTATTTTGTAAAACAATAAGTTTTTTTTAACAAGACAATCCCAAAGTTGTTAAAAGATGATAATTCTCTCCACAAAGTAGTACTATTTTTTGTAAAAATAATATGTTATGTTAATAAAAAATTAAAAATGGTCAATTTTTTTTCTCGATAATATGACTATTTTATGAGTTTAGTATTTGAACTAGTCTATCATAGTGTTATGCTACATGAGTCTTTCTCATCTCCCCTTCATTTAGTTCGTCCATTTAATTCTCACTTCTTTTTATTTTAAGTTTGTTTCAGCACAAATGGTTTTAGATATGAAGAAATACATATGTGAAAGAAGTTATATTTTTGGATGATATATTTTAAAAATGGTTTTAGATATGAAGAAATACATATGTGAAAGAAGTTATATTTTTGGATGATATATTTTAAAATTTTGAGTTTTAATATCTATATGATATATTGTTATAATTACATAAGATAGTTGATTATCTAAAAATAAAAATTAATATTTTTTTATAAATAACCGTGTTACTTTTTTAATAAATTGATAACATATATTTTTTGAACACTTTCAAAACACATTTAAATTAAACAAGAAAAAAATTTAAAATGTTTTTTTCGAGGCTTTTAGGTTTTTAATTTCTTATTGTGTATTTTTAATTTCAATTGATGAAATTCTTAGTTTTGATCTATATTAATTTGTTTAAATAAAAGAAATGTGGCATGGTATGAACAAACACTTCTTTATGTGTGGTAACATTTTAGACACGTGATAAAAATGAGGTGAAGTTGAAATGATGTTGATGTAACAAGCAATAAGAATTAAGAAGTATCATGAGTTCATGACACCATTAATCTCACTATTAAATTATCTTTTTCCAAAAAATTAAAAAGTGGTTTCAAACATAATGAAATTTCACCTGTCCATTCATAAAATTGCTTTTTCTAGACAAAAGCAAATCAATAACCATTTGTGTGGCTTACATATCATGAGCGAGCTATTAATATTATCATTTCTCATACAAAGTTAATAAAAATATTAATATCTGCATATAAAAAACCTTTTTATATTCGAAAACTGTATTTGATCCGAGAGGATTTAATATCGCCATCTTCCTTATGCAAACGATACATATTTCAATTTAAAGGACATCACTAAAGTCTAAAGACTCGCAACATGTGCTTGTTATTCGCAAGGATTAAACTAAGCGAATTATGATGATAATCAATGGTTTATAATTGACTAAAAATGGTTGATTTGTCTAATATGCGTGTAATATCATCGTTATCCCTATTCCAACTTTGATCCTAAATGAGCATTGAGAAGGTGTTGGGAAAAAATTTGTTGTTGCAAAAATGGATGTTGTATACCTATATGGATCTTACATTGCCCATATTGCTCCGGAAAACATCAATGTAGTTACTAGTTACCCTTATGTGTCGGACGTCTCGCTTCTGCTGCCATACCACATATTCCTGCTGTTAAGACCACATGCTCCTCCTATATATTCAATATGTATATTGGAGGAGGACACACTTCTTATTGAATTTTAATGTTCTTTATATTATTGTCGTTTGTTGGTTTGAATATTTTTGTTTGGTACTTTTAAGAAAATAAGTGTTGTTGCTGGATGCTTATGAGGAAAATGATAATTTGTTAAATTTAAAATATTTCTACCCCCTAAAGAAAAGATAACAGAAGACACAGGAATACCAAAATAAACTTCTGACTTTATTACTTTTGACTTTATTGAAGAAACATATCTTGAAAACTTCAATCTCTCATAGGATCCTAACATCTGATTTTATACTGAACATAAACACATTAGCATGAGAGTATAAAACTATAATGGACAAACTAAACTTTCCATATAAACCATCCTTATTGCTCAAGGATTCTGAAATTTGGTCAACACACCAAGGAATCTTGGACAACACTCCAAGAAATAGATGAATTGGGACAGAACACGTATGCATACCATATCTATCTCAATAAATTCGTCAACAATCACCCCCTGAATTTATGAGTCGAGTGTAATTCTTGCACGCCAAGTAACGATCTCATTTCCGTGAATCTTATCCAAGCTAAGACCTTCATTGCATCAAGCCAATTCTTGTTCGTTTTGGTTTCCTTATAATTCTTCGGTTCTTCATCGAATGTCAACATTAAATGATCCACATTAAGCTCGTAGCCATTTAATTTTCTTGGCAACACTGAAGTTCGAGTAGAAAGGCGGGGTGGGACGAAACTTGCATCATTATTATGAATATCAACGAGTTGCGATGGGCTGCTATAATCATGAGAAGTGTCACCGGTTTGGTCCGGATCCGTGAGCTGTTCGGTTTTGGTTGCAGTAGGGACCGAACCACCATTATATTGGGTTGCTTGATCATTACTCCACAAGACCGTAAATGTATCCAATCCATTTCCATCTTGGTTGCATGGGCACTTATAATGATTTTATTTTCCCGCGGATTATATAACCGAAATCCTCCCGAATTGGGTTCCTTTCCAAAAATATACGAACGGTCGAGACCTATCATCAAGCTTCTTTAAATGTTTTGAGACTACTCTTTCGTATGCAACACAACCAAATACTTTCAAGTCTTCAAGGTTTGGTTTTTCACCATAAAATTTCTCGAACGGTGTATCACCTATCAAAGCTCGAGTAGGTGTACGATTTATGATGAACGTTGCATGACGTACCGCTTCGCCCCGAAAGTGGTTTGGAATATCTTTCGCTTTCATTAGGCATCGTGTCATCTCGAGTATAGTCTGATTTCTCCGTTCGAATATACCGTTTTGTTGATGTGCATAAGGAGCCGTCAACATATGTGATATCGCTTCTTCATCACAAAAACGGTTTAGCTCAATGCGATGTGAATTCTCCACCTCTATCCTTATGGAAAGTCTTGATCTCTTTACCGATTCGTTTTTCAATTGATGTCTTGGCTTGCAATTAATGTGGATTACCAACTTTTAACTGAATTTTGTAAAGTCGGTTTGCACTTCTTGGGACTTTCATAAGCAATCTTCCTGTCTCAATCTCTCATGGTTAGGAAATCACGTCGCATCTGAATATCACAACCGATTATTGTAGATTGTCCGAGACTAATAACATTGCTCCGAAGTGACGGAATATAATAAATATCCTTCATTAGTTTTTGCTCGCCACTTTTCCTTTCGAACAAAATTGACCATTTTCCTTTAATGCTAACACACGACCCATCTCCAAATCTCACTCTACCCATTATATTTTTATTTAATTAGAAAAATAAGAGTAGTTTCCGGTCATGTGGTTGCTCGCACCATTGTCTAAATGCCAAAATTCTGTCTTCATCGGTATTTGCATCAATTTTTGTAGGGATATATTTGTCTTCATTCAAGAATACCGTTTCTTGAATTGTATTCATTATAAAGAACGACCCTTCTTCATGATTTGTACATCCTTCTTATATTGCGTTAAGGTTAGCCTCCTGATTTTTTATTCGGCCCGGGCATCTCGAAGCAAAGTGACCATACTTGTCACACCGGTAACATTGAATATTTGAGAGATCCCTTTGTTCATGTTGGTTTCCCTTTTATTTTTTATCATTACGAGTTTTGGTGGATTTCGAGTGACTATGAGTTTGGTGTTACCCCGACCATGTCCACCGCAACGTCCACCACCATGTCCTCTTCATCGGTTATTTGAACCTCGACCTATACCACTTGATGATTCGATGTTACTATATGAAGATTCAGTTTTGGTATAAAGTAGATTTGCTTGTGTTTCAGAAGTCTTATCATCTTCCTTGATTCTTTCTTC